AGGGTGCGCCCCAACCCCCCCCCCCCCCGATAACAAGACAGTGCTCAATAGCAAACAGACACCCAGGACATTGCTTGTTTTATGGCCATCAGCCCTCCCAGGTGCCAGGGCAAAACTCAGCAGGGAGCCTCAGTTCAGGTCCTCCTGCCTGACGTTTTTGGGGCAAGCCCAACGAAGCCACGGAGCATCTGCTTGGGAGCGAACGTTGGCCTGTGTTGCTGAGCTGGCAGCCGGCATGGCGGAGCTATAAATAAGGCCGTTTGGAGAGCAACCTGTGCAGGACCCGTGCCACTGGATCCAAGAGCAGCCTGGCTGGCCAAAAATTCACCCAGGAGGAAGGAAAAGCATCTGGGAAAGACCTCCCTGCTGGGGAGATGTGTGGGGCTGTGCCATAGAGGTGGAAAGCAAACAACCACCCGCAGTGAGAGTGAGGATTTGGGGCACAAAAGCGTGGCTTTAATCTCCGAGAGAAGCAGCAGATGCCAAGCACAGGCTGGGAAAAGCTTCCTCGGCTCAGTTTTGTCTGCACAGGATGGCGTCGTTGGTGTGGACGGAGAGAAAAATGCAGATAAAGAGATGCAAGGCTCTCCTGCTGTCAGAAAAAAAACAAATCGTGAGCAGCTCCAGACCGAGTAAAAAGTATTTATTTCAATTACAGTTAAGCCCCATGTGTAGGGTGAAAAAATAGTTACAAAAGAAATCCCCCCCAATCCCTCCTTTTACATATAAATATTAAAAATCCCTCTGGCATCTTTGCTTTCTGTCTAGAGCAAGAAAGCGCCCCATGAGACAACACACAGCACCTGAGCTACCGTCAGTGGTTTCCTCTCAAAACAGCAAAAGGATATTAAAAAAAACAAAACAAAACACGCAACACTAAGAGAGCCCCTCGCCCCCATCCCGGCCAGATCTCACACCAATGCCAAACCAGCCACAGAGGGATGGAGGTTTGGGGCCATGCTGTGATTTCGGGGCTTGCAGTTTCCCGGACATAGAGGCCGGGCACAGCAGCAAGCGAAGCAACAGCAGGAACCGCCTGCGCTTGTCTGGGGAAGTTTTTGGGCCAGGAAATCACAGCTGACCTTGCTTCAGAGGGGACAGGAGGGAGAACCGGGTGCTTCATCCACACTATCACCACCTTGGTTTACATCTTTGGCACATCAACTTTTCCCTTTGCACTCCGAAATTAAAGCTAATGCCAGGAGTTGCAGCATCCTGGCAGAGCCTTTCTGCAACCCGCAGCATCCTCCAGCCCTGTCCCCAGGCCTACTGTCCCCAATTTCCCCATCAGCATTCTCCAAGGACAGTCCCTCCCAGAGAAACCCAGGATTCAGGGCCAGCTAGTTGCATCTGCAGCTTGGGCAGACCAATCCAGCTTCCCCATCCAAGGGACTGTCACCACAGGGTGCTGCACTGAGTAAAAAAAAAATTAATAAATATACTAGTCTTTGACTAAAAAAAGGTTTTTGAATGCATTTTCCCTGAAATTCTCCAGTGTATTCTACAATGCATGAAAAAATATATATATTTCCCCCCCTGCCCAAAAAAAATATATCTTCAAATATTTTTCATCCTCATGTGCGCATCTTTGGAGAGAGGAAGGTACGTTGGGTGTATTTACACACACAGCCAAACCCACCAGCACCACAGCGTTCCCTTTATCACCTCTGAAGAAGCTTTTGCCAGGGCGGTGGGTCAGGCTGGAGCACTGCGTGTGTAGATACGGGGTAGTGCCCACAGACATACGTGCCTCGACGCGTGGCTCGGTCACAGTGGGAAACAAGAGACCCCCAAATCAAAGTCATTTCACAAATGAGCGAGGGGATGAGGAGTTTTCACAGTGGATCGAACCTCGGACAATATCAGCAACACGGGGCACCACTACAGCTGAGAGCTGGGCAGTCTGTTGCGTGGAGAAGTGGTTTGAGCCTCTCAAAAGGAGCGGGGAAATTCAGCCAGCAGCAGAGTATGAAGCAACCAGCAGCTGGTTTCCATCGCCCCCATCACCAGACTTCACACTTCTTGGGGGGATTCATGGGGGAGCCAAGGGGGCAGCCAAAATGCTCTGCAAACTCCCGGGAGTTGGAGACTGTGCCGATGACACGGAAACGCGAGGGGCTGTGGGGGTCAGTGATGAGTCCCTCATGTGAGCTCTCCGGCGTGCGAACCGAACACCACACCTGCAAGCAGAGGGAGAGAGGTGCGAGCACCAGCATCCGCAAACACAGGGCGCCTTTGGTGACGAATTGGACCTTCCCGCTTCCATGATGGGCACCTACACAGCTCAAGCTCCAGCTTTGTCTCACTTTTTAACCAGCACCACCCCAATCTGGTTCTCCATCCACTATGCAGCATCTCCGGAGACCTCAGTTTTGCCATCACACCCTCCCAAAACCATCTGAGCATGCCTCCACCCCACAAAAAAGTGTACATCCATCCTCGCTGCCCACCACCAAGTGACCTACCTGGGCGAAGCCAACAAAGAAGAGCTGGTGGTTGGTGAGGCCGAGGGTTGGGAGGGTTTCCTCATCCCCATTCTTTTTCAGCCAGTTTTGATATGCCTAGAAACAGGGGACCACAGCAGGCTCAGGGGACACCACCGATCCCACCATGCCTTGCCACCCACTGCAAATCCCCAGCCCTGCAGCCCTACCCGGTAGGCAGCCTTGAGACCCCCGTTGTCAGCGATGTTCTCCCCAAGGGTGTGCTTGCCGTTGACGGCCTCACCATTGACAGTGTAGTTGCCATACTGCTCCACCATGCACGCTGTCTGATGCTTGAAGGCCTCCACCGAGGAGTTCTTCCACCAGGGACGCAGGTTGCCATCCTTGTCATATTCCCGGCCTGTCAAAAACACGGCAGGTCCTTCGTCACCTCAACGGCCACCCCACCAGCAGCCCACTTGCCTGGCCCTGGCCATACCTTGGTCATCGAAGGCATGTGTCAACTCATGGCCCACCACCACACCAATCCCACCAAAATTCAGTGACCTGCAGGAGGGTGATGCTGAGTTTTAGAGACCAGCTGCTGCTCCCCACAGCCATGAAATGTAGCCTCAAATTTTGGGACTGAAGGAAATTTGGGAATACTGCCTTCCCCATTTTCCCCAGGCTCTTACTTGGGAGATGCACGGGTGTAAAAAGGGGCCTGAAGGATGCCAGCAGGGAAGACTATTTCGTTCTTGGTGGGAGAGTAGTACGCATTGACCGTTGGAGGTGTCATGCTCCACCTGTGGGGACACAGACATGGCCAATGTGGCAGCACAAACCCATTGCTGATGTTTGCTCTGACACTATCCACTTACCATGGCGCAAAGCCATCAACCCAAATTTAACTCCCCAAACCCAGCGGGGTCTGGTGGACACCAAATCCCAGCGCTCCAGGCATTATGATATTCCCCACTGAGCACAACAGGGAAGCAGCGTGGAGAACTTACTGGTCCCGGTTCGGCGGTTTCCGAAGCTGGTCGGCGGTGACCCTGGCCGAGAAGTTGTAAAACTGCATGACATTCTCAAAGTAGAGGTCAGACACAGCCTCGTACTGCAAAAGAGCAAGGCGTGAGTGGCACATGGTGATCGCTTGGCCCCGCTCCTCCCTGTGGTCATGTTTGAGCCTCCAGAGCCAGCTGAGTTACAGCCACTCTTGTTTCTCCTTCTCTCCAACATCTGCAGAGTCTCAGGAGGGCAATGAATCACCGTTACGGAAACCAGCTCCTCCTCTTCCCAAGCAGGGATCCCAAGAGCCCCAGCTTACCCCAGGACTGGCCTACAGCTCTCTGGGAAGTCCCCAGAGAAGGACCAAGGACATCAGCGAGACCCTTCTGTAGGAAACCTGGGGTTCAAAGCTGCCTCAAGGCCATGGTGATGGGCACATGTCCTGCACATGCTAGTGGAGGAGGGAATAGGAGACCTAGGGGACATATCTGACCAACTCACATCATTAAAGACTTTATCCAGCTCCTTGGGGTCCATGATGAACTTGGGGTAGCCGATCATGTTGTAGATGGCATCTGCCTGGGAGGTGGGTGACAGGGAGCAAAGTGCTTTTGGTGCCAGGGATGGAAGGACAGGCTCGCCCAGCTCCACCACCCTCCACCATCACCCTCTTCCCCCCGGCGCTGCTGCCAGCACCTCACCTTCTCTTTGGCCGATTTCCTGGTCTCTTCATCCATCCACTGCAGGGTCTCCAGGCTTTCCTCGAAGGCTGTTTTAATCTCCGCGATCATTTCCTCTGCCTAGACAAAAACAAGGTGGCACAACGTCAGTCCAGAGATCCGGCTTCACAATCCGGAGAGTTCAAGGACCCTTTGCATCCACGGGAAGGAAGAGGGAGGGATGCCAAGATGGCACACAGGCCAATGAAATACCCAGTGAATGGAGATGCATGGTGGACAAAAGAAAAAGAGAAACATTGGCTGCCCCAACCATCCACCATCGTGGTGGCTCACGTGCTGCTTGCTTGGGGACATACCACCTGCTTGCTGTCCTCAGCAAAGGTCGCCTTGACAAACATGGCCCCCAGGGCGAAGCCCAGGTTGTTGTCTGTGTCACTGATGCAAAATTTCCAGCGTGGGAGGCAGGTCTGCAGAGGATGAGAGGTGGTCATCAGCAGTGGCACAGCCAAAGCCCCCACACCTTCCCACCCCATTGCCCCACTGGGAGATGAGGTCCACATCCATCCCCCTGCACTGGAGCTGCGACCCCAAAGCCTGCCCCACATCCCTATTTTTTGGATGCAATGTTACAGGGACTTCACTTAAAAAGCTGTCACAAATGGTGATTTGGGGGCATTGGGGACTCCCCCCTCACCTTCTTAGTCCCATACATCACTTCCATGAATTTCTCCTCAGCATCCTGAAAGCGCTGGTCAAGGAAGGGGCTGGTTTTCCGCACCAGGTTCCAGATCATGTAGTTGTTGAGGAGACTGCGGCGAGAGGCAGTGAGCAGGCAGCAGGGCACCCCTACCCACCCTGGGCACCCCTCTGCACAGGCTGGGGGTTCTCACCATTTATCAGTGGCCAGGATGAGGTCGGAGACCTGTTCCAGGTACTCCTTGGCATAGACCACGACGGGCTCTGACTCATTGAGCTCCACAGGATAGAAGACTGTGGAGAGGAAGGGCATCCAGTCCACAGCCGGCGCCAGCTCCTGCAAAAGCCATGCTGCTGCTATGGACCCAAAAAACCATTGGAGGGGGGTGGTAGCCACGTCTCGAGCTGGAAGCTGCTGCATCAGCCCCTGCTTGAGGGATTCAGCTGATTTTGCAGAGACCGGTTCTCATAACAGCAGCATCCTCCAAAGGTCGGAGGGGAGTAAACAATTTCCTCCCAGAAAGGAAGAGAAAGTGGGGCGGGTGTCAAAAATGTTGACACAACCCATTAGGGCCCCTTTAGGGACACAGGGAGGTGACCAGGCTGACATCTGCAGCTGGACCACAGGCAGCAGTGCCGGGAGGGCATTAGGGCCGCAGTGGGACAGCTGCTGGCCCCAGGGGTGGTCCAGAGGCTGGGAGGAACGGGTCAGGGTGGGATTTCCCCAAAGAGGACATGGGCCAAGCTATTGCACAAGAGCTTCACAGGCGGTATTGGGCTTCCTCAGAGGAGTTGCATCACCTCCAGCCATCTACCCTGCTTCCCAAACCCCGGCGGAGCAGGAAGGCTTGCCAACCCCATCCCTACCTTCAGGTCTCCAGCCGTCATTTTATGGTAAATGACCTCCTCGTCCCGGTGCTTCTCCTGCGGGATGGTGATGTTGGCCAACGCCGTCTCAAAGTCCAAGATCTGCTGCATCTGTTGCCGTGTCAACTCCTCATCAGTGCCTCCCAGGAACATCCCCAGCTGCACCATGTAGTTCAGGTACCCGGCAAGCACCTACATGGTGGGATGGGGGAAAATCAGCATGGTGGGTGCCACCCACCCATGGCACCTCCCCAACAAAGCCAGATTTCCCCCAATGATCTTACTTTCTCATTCTCCGTCTTGTTCAAGTAGTAATCCCGTGATGGTAGGCCTAACCCTGACTGATCCACCTGGATGACGTTGCTGTTGGAGTTTTTGGAGTCAGCACTGACGTAGACGGAAAAGAAGGGCGAGGTGCGGTAATGCGCTGTCACCTCCCGCAGCGTCGCATTGAAGTTGTCCCTTGCCCAGGGACCCGTGATGTTCCAGCCACCCAGCTGGGGACAGACAGCAACCAGCTTTTGGTTAAGGAACGACCACCTGGAGTTGCTTAAATATCCCCCCAAAACTCATCCTGAGGGGAAACATCTTGCAATGGGGCTAAAAAGCCCAGGAGAGGCAAGAGCTGCCTATAAATCCCTGCCTCTCTCTGCTCGCCTGCCCTGGGGGATGCTCTGCGCCAGGAATGGAGTCTGGAGGGTGCTGGGACTGCCTATAAATGAGCTTTTCCCTCCCATTTTGCAGAGAGAAGACTGCTTCTCTGCCAAAAAAAAAGACGAACCTTTTGGATGAGCTCCATGAGCGGGGCGGCGCGCAGCTCCTCGATCTTGCTCTCGTTCATGCAGGCTTGATAATAACGCTGCGCCTTGCGCTCCGCCTCACTGGACACATTGGCCGTGGTGTTTTCTGTGGGAGGTACCCCGGGGGGATCTCAGGGGGTCCCCAGGGACAGGCACCCATCCCCCCCTTGGGGGCTGCCGATGCACGCCAGATACCCCCCCCCTTCACTGGAGAAATATTCAGACCCATTTTGGGCAAAGCCAGGCTCCAAAAAGGCGCCGAGAATTGCCCCACCGGTCCCCTCTGTGCCCCCAGGAGCATGGGCTGGTCCCCAGCCCTTCCTGGCCTCCTGCCCCCATCTCTTCTCCCACCCACAGCGACAGCTCTGGCTCTTTGGAGCAGAAAGATAAAGAAAGAAAAAACAAAAAGCATTTTTCCAGCAGCTCTGATGTTCCCAGCATCATCCAGCCCCCTGTGCTGCCCTTGCCCCCGTGCTGGCGCTCCCTAACCCTATATTATTTATTCCTGCAAGAAAGAACAATAAACCCATTTTTCTCCTCTGGCTCCAAACCCATCCTTTTATTCCCCCCTCCCCGCCCCCTTAAAATTTTGCTTCCCCAGAGGTTTTTGGGTTGTGGGTTGTGTTTTTTTTTTTGTTTTGGGGTTTTGTTTTGGTTTTTTTTTTATTTTCTTCATGGCACAGCTTGCACCTTTGGCTTCCCAGCTGTGTGGTTTTATTAACTAAAGGTCCCTCGGCTCTGAGGAATTCAAGGAAATGCCGAGCACAACTGCTTGGCTGAAGGCCCGGTCCCTTCTCCCAGTAAAACCAGCCAGATTTCTTCGGGAAGAGCCAGGGACAAAGTCGTTCCTGTGCCACCCCCCCTTCTCCCAAAAGACAACACTCTTCCCAAACCTTCTCTTTTCAGATAATCGGCCCCAGCGCAGTGGAAAGTGCTGATAAGGAGCCAGTTGTTTGCTCAAAGCTTGAACAAACCGTCCCCGCCGGTTGCTCGGATAAGCCACCCCGCTCTGGTGTTCACACACAGAGGCTGAGACCAGGTTCCTCCCTCTGCCAGGGGAGTTTTGGCCCCAAAAACATGGCCAGATTGGCAGCCAGCCCCCCGAAAAACACTGCTCACAGAGACTGGAAGCTATAGCAGGAAGAAAAAAAAACCATATCCTTAGGTTGATATTGGGGTGCTATGGCTTCTGGGTGCAGTCAGGGGTGCAAATCCTGAATTTCAGAGCTCCTGGGAACACCACCATGGGGTTTGTGGGGCCGAGGCCAGGACCCTTCCCCTACTCGGCACCAAAGAGCTCTTTGACCACAGTCAAAAATCCCAGGGGCATCCAGAAGAGCAAATACAGCCAGGATCTGCTTCCCAATGTCCTCGCAACGCGTGCGTCACGGGTTGGATTGACGCTGGTGTTTAAGTCTGACCTTACGTCCCTGCAGGCGTGTTTTCAGCATCCCCCTGGAGCCAACGGGGCTCCTCAGCACCGTGGGGGTCCCACCACTCCCCACATACTCACCCAGCAGATGCTTCATGATGGCCTGGTTGTGCTCCCAGAGGTTGTTGAAGGTGCCCCAGCGCGAGTGGCCATCGGGAAGGGGGTTGGCCTTGATCCAGCCCCCGCAAGCATAGCTGAAAAAATCCTCACAGGGATTCACTGCCCGGTCCAGCGAGCTGAGGATGGAGCTGGTGACGGAGATGCAGGCTTCTGACAGGCACACGGCAGGCGGCCCTGGGGGCAGACGTGATGGGTTCAGCTTCTCTGATGTGGAACATCCCACCCCAGGGTGAGGGATGTGGGGAAATATCTCATCTGGTGCCCAAACATCCTGCCCCATGCCCAAGCATCCCATGCCAGGGCAAATGATATGGGCGAGCACCCCATCCCACAGGCGAGCACCCCGCCCTGGGGTGAAGGATGCAAGCAAGCATTCCACCCTCTGCCCAAAGCATCAAGCTCCAGGGTAAAGGATCAGAGGAGCTTCCCATCCCAGGGGAACCACCCCCCGCAACCCACCCTGGTCCCTGCGCGGTGCGAGGACTTACGGGCTCTGTACTGGAAGATGAGACCCAGCAGACACCCCACCAGCACAGCCGCCAGCACCCCCACCAGCACCACGAGCTGCTTCTCGGCGCGCGTCCGCTCAGCCCAGCACCCCAGGCTGCTCCTTGAGCCACGAAAGTTTACCTGAGGGAAAAGCAGCGACGTTTCCCCACCAGTGGAAAAACTCACTGACGCATCCCCCATTTTGCTTCCTACAAGCCCACGGCATGAGTCTGGCCCCCAGTGAGGGATCCGGTGTGGCTCAGGCTGGGAAAGGCAGCAGCTGCCTTCCAGAAACCAGCCAGGAAGGGCGGCACAATGGCAGGAAAGGGAGCGGGACAAGCCTTTCGGCGGGCTCACCTGCTGCCCTGTGCCACCCCGAAGCCCTCCTTGAGCATGGCTGTAACCCCCAGGGTGGTCCCTGTCCCCACCGTCGGCGCTGGGACAGGGTGGGGACCACGGCGGCGATGGGAAGTGCCCTAACAGGATACTCCCTCTCTGCCGAAAAACATCCCCAGGAAACATCCTAGTGCGACGGCAAGCAGGGATGGCCCCACCAGGAAAAGCAAAAACACAGCGGAGCTCTGATTTTTGGGGCAGAAAACACCATTCTAGGCAGAGGCCAATGGGGCTGGGAGCAGGGCCAGCAGAGAACATCTCTCTGGCCCAAAATCTTTCTAGGCGAGGCCAGACACTGGCAGATGTGGGGTTTGGTTTAGTTTTGGTTTTTTTTTTTTTCCTTCTTCTTTTTCTCACCACCCTCGGCCCTTTTTAAGCCGCTTTCCTGCTGCTCAGGGAGGAATTAACCTAATCCCCTTTTGTGTGGCAACAAAGCTCCCACTGCCAGGATAATTGCTCACCCCAGCCCCACTGGGAAGGGGTTCGGCCATCAGAAAAACTGGGTGCTGGGGTGTTGCAAACAGCCGAGCCAGGATTCAGCCCCATGGGCTCCCCCATTGCTGGCTCCAGGTGCCGGGAGGGAGCAAAGGGCAGTGGCAGCCAACTCGGCTCTGCCCACACCGCACTTTGCCCCACGGGAAGGCTGGTTCCAGGTGGAAAACCCTCCTGCAACCCCCGCCGCTTGCCAGGACCCCAAATACCCTTTTTTTCCCCCCCAAAACAGACACAAAGCCCTACCTGGAAGCCGTTGGGGTACCCATCGCCTTCGCTGATAGAGTCCAGGGGGTCTTCATCGTCCAACGTCGCCCGCTTGTAGGTCGACATCTGCACAGGGAGATCGGCAAATGAAGGTGCTCAACAGCTCCGGGTTGAGGAGGAGGAGGAGGAAGGAGGGCAAGGAAGGAATACGCACCCTCTAAAGCCTCCTCCTCCTCCGGGGAGCTAAATCCCGAATGGCTCCGGGGTAGTAAAGCGCTAAACAAACGCCGGAGGAAGGTTATGGAAAGCAACGAGGGCCGGAGCCAAACGCTGAGCAAAGCCTGACCCCGCCTCGCTTTCCCCCGGGGCCGGGTTGTGCAACCTCCCCTTCAGGCTAGAGTAAAGCCGGTTCCTCCTCCACCGGCTCCCGGCTCCCAAATGGGGAGAGGGACCCCCAGATGCCAGGGACACCCAGTGTGCCAGGGACCTGAGAAAGGCCGGTAGCGGCAAAATGGCTTTGCACCCTGAAGCTACCGGCTTGCTCACGCTCGCCCATACTGCGCTGCCACCGTTGTTTCCTTCCCCCCCTGGCACGGCCCTACCACCCAGCCAAATTGTCTCCCACCAGGAAAAAAAAACCCCGCCCCCCCCGCCAAGGAGATGAGCACCCCAAAACCCACCCTGGCCCCTGCCGCCAACAGGCTGAGCAGCACCAGTCACATCCCTTCATCCCCGATGCAGCACAGGGTGAGGGTTTGCACCCATCCACATGTCCCCATTGCCCCCAAAGGGCCTCTGAGTTTGATCCAAACCCAGCACAGCTGTGCCTCAGTTTCCCCTGGCAGGAAGGTGCACACAATGAAAGCGCCAGTTCTCAGCCCCGTTGCCGATAATGGCCTTCCCAAACCTCCCCTTGCACAATTAGTAACAAATCCCATCATCTCCCTGGATCCCAGATCACAGCCTGGGTGTCATTAGCCACAAAACCCTCCTGGGTAGGAAAAAACGGTTGGAAGAAAAAGGCAGTTTCCCTCCTAGGTTGTGCAAAAAACTCCGCTTCCAGCCCCAAAATCACTCCTAGGTGCCTGCCTCAAGCCTACAGACCGCAGAGGGAAAAAGCTTCCCCTGCAGGATTTTATCGCTGGTACAATCTGATTTTATACTGTACTTATTTTTCCATCCCCTTTCACTTTTCCCCCCCTATTTATGCACTCTGCACATGGCTGAAATTTGCAGCTTGGGGCACAAATCACCTCCCACAGGGGGGAAGGGGAGGTGGGGCATGAAGCCCCCATGGCTCTAAAGCACCAAATTCCTGGAGTCCCAGCTTTCAGCCAAAGCTTTCACTCTGTTTCCTGAGGAAATGAGGGGTTTTTTCTGTGATTCCCCCACCCCCCTGCCTGCCCCAGCCTGAAAACAGCAGGAAAAAGGGAAAAAAAAAAACCACCCCAAACCCTGCTTTTTTTCCTTTTGCAAGGGACACACTGGCTCAACCCTTTATTAGGCAGCAGAGAATCCAAGCTGAGCTTGAACCCCCCCCAAAACACCCCCGGGGGCACTGGGATCAACCCCCAGCATCTTTAACTTTGAGGAAATTGAATCCAGGAGGTATTTTCAGCCCCCCCCTTTTTCCCCCCACATTGGGGGCATCCGGGCAAAGCAGCACCCATGGGTGCTCCCCACCCCTTGCTGCTTGTGAAGCAGGAACACCCCTTTTTTGGGTCAAAGCAGGGTGGGTTTTGTCCCCCCCCCCCCCCCCCCCCCCCCAGCTCTGTTGTTTGCTTAAGTGACAAAATAAAAAGGTTTTCCCAGCTCGAACAGGGTGGGGGGCAGCCAAGGGTGCAGGGGAGGGGGGCACCTACACTTTAGCCCCTCAGTCAAGGGATTTGCACCCTCTTTATAACTTACAAAAGTCTAAGCAGGGCCTGAAATCGCCCATTTTCCCCCCAAATCTCCACTGTAAAAAACAACAAAACCCACATGCTTCGAGCCTGCACACCCCAAGGAAGGTCCCGGGGGGGGGCACCCACCA